AATTTTGTGGTTTGTGGATTGAATTTTTTGAAGTAATATATTCTTTGATACTCATGTGAACTTAACAGTTGATAAACAAGATCAGTTTTTAGTAGAAAACTATAAATCCTGACACAGTTAATTCATGACAGGTTATATTTGTGGTTGATGCTAGTGGGAGCATGGCATTGAACAGAATGCAAAATGCGAAGGGTGCAGCACTTAAATTACTTGCTGAGAGTTATACAAGCAGAGATCAGGTGCAGTTTCAGTGAGTTCTGTAATTTCAAATTTGGCTACTAGAGAGTCTTATCTGTTCACTTGTCTCTTAATTTTTAACTGTTACAATAACCAGTCTGGGGATAATGGACCAACAACTTAGGATTCTGATGTAGAGTGATTAGATTCTTGTAGAAGAAAAAAATTCACAACAGATTACTTCATGACACAAAATCGGTGCTAAGACTTCTGAATGCTGTATCTTGCTTGGTTAATAGTTTACAGATGTCAAAATTGAAGAGCTTGTTGGTGATGATTGCAAACTCCACTAAAACAAGATTGTTCGAGCTAATGTGTTGTAGCCATGGCCTTGCACCAATTTTGGTGACAAACTGGATGAATGAAATATTTTTTATCTATTTTTGCTACGATCAGACATAATAATCCTATCCAATATGCAGGGGTGGAACCAGATAGAGTAAAAACAATTCACCATCTGTTCCATCCCATTTACCAAATGTGGGATATATGTTCTGCAACCTGGAGGCCATCACGTGTGATGTCAGTTTCTAGTGTGGGAATTGGGCAATTTAGTCATAGGTCTAGGAAAATTCCTGCTGACTGGATTATGATCAATTACAATTTCAATGCTCTTATGTGTAGCAGTGATAGAGAATTACTGTTAAGGACCAAAGGAGAACTACCATTCATAGGACTATGTAGTGGATAAAAAATAAATAATAGTTTCAAGTAGATGGAAAATTTAGAACTTATGGTTTTTGCACATTGCTTGATATTGCACTGGGATTTATTTAATTTTGTAAGCACCCAAACTTTATTCCTCAAATATACTCGGTTCAATTGTCCAGATCCTATCCAAATCTGAGATTCATCAAACTTCTACATAATGGATACATGAAATTCACTAAATATGGATGCTTTTCTTCTTTACTATTCCTCGTAATACTTCCAAATCGAATATAACCTATGCAAATTGACTTACAATATTGTTTAGAAAAGTTGAATGTGGGACAAACAAGGGACTGTTAAGTTGGTTCCCCCAAACCTGTTTTTTCTTTCGAGCACTTGAGCATATTTGAATGCACCATTCCCGGAAATCTTGAGGGAATTGAAAACCTGTGTTAAAGTTTGATTAATGTCATTATACCCCTCTTGATCCCTTAGTTTGATGGGATTCCTATCAACATTCGATATTCTTTGAAGTTGTTTGTTCATATGGTCTATGAAAAATGCCTCAGAGAATGCACAAGATGCTATCTTCCTGCATCCCCTTTACGAAGTGAATGTTGAGTAGATGGGAAAATGAACTTATTTTTCTTATGTTCATTGATGATTTCTTAATAGGTTGCTATCATTCCCTTCCGAGGAGATGCTGCAGAAGTTCTCTTGCCTCCTTCCAGGTCAATTTCTATGGCAAGAAAACGTCTCGAGAGACTTCCATGTGGTGGCGGATCTCCCCTTGCCCATGGTCTTACTACGGTATTCATCAATTTTGACTATTACTGGCATCATAATTGATATTTCTTTTCTAAGATATTCCCTCAAATCGTAGCCCATGACTTACACTTATGTACCACTAATAGAACTGTTTTGTAACTTTTGCTTGGTTAGTTATTGTATAATACCCTTTTCCCTTCTAGGGGGACAAATTTCGCACTTTCTCATGTAAATTTCTTTCTTTATTTTGTTTTGTTAATAAAAATTTCATAAATGAAGATGAAGGGGAAATTTCCTCATATGAGACCATACATTACAAATTTCATATTCTATTCTATTTGCTGAAAATTCTAACATGAATATGCGTAGGCTGTTAGAGTCGGAATGAATGCAGAGAAGAGTGGTGATGTTGGACGAATAATGATTGTTGCCATAACTGATGGCAGAGCAAACATATCACTGAAAAGATCCACTGATCCTGAGGCTGCTGCTTCGGATACACCCCGACCCTCTGTTCAAGAATTGAAGGTAAAACTCCTGAAACATGACATCATTGTTAGTTCTTCATCTGATGTTACGAGTGATCTGAAAACATTTCCGAAAAATTACTAGAATTAAAATGGTAACAAACCCCGACGATTCTACTTTCTACACGAACGTTTTTAGTTGCAAGAACTCCTGCTACCTAAGAATGTTCCAATGAACTGTAATTGGCTAAGCTTAAAATGATTCCTTATAAGTAATGTTCCAATGAACTGTAATTGGCTAAGCTTAAAAAGATTTCTTATAAGTAAATTAAGTTAGATTTTTTGAAAAAAAATATTTTTGTGGATTAAATTGAAAATAAGTAACTAACTCATTTTGACAGCAATGTAAGACTTTCTTTCAAAACAAGTAAACTTTTCTTTGAATTAAAATTAAGACAGAAAAACTTATTCAAACTTATCGAAAAATAACTTGAGGTTAGCCGAACATGCAGGGAGGAAAGCGATATATTTAAACTTGTTTTTCTAATTAGTGTTCTCTTGTAGGATGAAATTCTTGAGGTGGCTGGTAAATTATATAAGGCTGGGATGTCTCTCCTTGTCATCGATACAGAAAATAAGTTCGTTTCAACTGGTTTTGCCAAAGAGATTGCAAGAGTTGCTCAAGGTATGTAACTTGAAGCCCCCTGGTTTTCAATTGCACATAATTATATTGTTTTTTAATTCTATCGTTATGGTCTCCAGGAAAGTATTACTACTTGCCGAATGCTTCTGACGCTATTATTTCTGCAACAACAAAAGATGCATTATCAGCTTTAAAAAACTCGTAAATCCAAAAATAGTTTTGTAAACTTGATTCAAATATTTGAGAGCTCCCTTGTGTCGGTTTCATCCCTTTCTGTTCTGTTGTCTGTTGACGTAAATGTAATTTTGGACGATGGATCTTTTAATTTACAGTTTCATAGAATCTTTTGCTAATTATCAGTGATTAGCCTCCATAAAATGCTATTTTCGCCATCTAAGCATTTCTTGCCTTGTTGCATCTCTTTTCCAAATTTATAGCCAGTCAGTGTGAAATCCTTTTGTTGTTTTTTGATGAGACAAGTAAGGTGGAATCAATATGCAATAATGTATCATATTAAACAAAAAATAAAAATACGAAGAATGAGTTAAAATCTTGTTCAATATTCTTTTTGTACAGTGTACTAAACGACATTGAAACAAGATTTTAATTTATTCACTACAACCTTATCTTTCACCTATACTTACCATCTTATATGTTAACAATTAACAACCATGCTACGTTGCTAGAAAAGTTTAACATCTTCCTTGACAGAATATCATGTAGCATTTTGTCGTTGGACTATTTTAAAAACAATTAACTTTTACATTTAATCATTTCTTGCCACCAATATATTTGTCAACATTTTCTAGCAAAGTATCTTAATTCAACAATTAATTTCAGGATTTATTAGACATGATTTTTGAAAGTCAAGATATTCATTTTATTAATTTTATATAAATATTTTTTTAAGTTAAAAACAATTTTAGAGAAAGTTGGCCCTATGTTGATTTTTCTAAAAACTCTTCTGAAATTTGAAGGGTTTTTTTTTTTTTTCCCGAAATTAGCCTTCAAATGTTAATTAAGGTAGCTTTTTGAAAAAAATTCTTTTACTAGAAGTAAAAATAAAATAGAATTCATGTCCTTAATTTATAACGGTCTATTTTGAATTTTGCTTGATATTGAACATGTTTACAAATAGTTTTAAATCAACCAAGCCTTTTTAAAAATAATTTAAAAAATAGGATTGTCCAATATGTATCGGTGTTCATCTTATGAAAAACATCGATAACGTGTCATATAAATTTATTAATGAATTTTAAACTTAATCAAATGTTGAGGTCCAATCTAAGTTTAATCGCCGATAAATTTATATGACACGTTACGGATTATTAATATAAGATGATTACCGTGTTCAATATATCATTCCAGATTTTAAAAAAATAAAATAAAATTCTGTAAACATGACGAATCAAGATTCATTTACATCTAAATAATATTTAAATCCAAATTGTGTTTGATCTACTAACATTTCTAAATGATATTTTGTATAAAACACTAAAATAGTCCGTTTGATTGAAAAGATGGAATTAAATTGAATTGAAAACGAATTTTAGGGAATTGAATTGTCTAGAAATTGTTTTCCTAAGAATTGTAAATTATTGTGTTTGATTGGTATAATTTTTCACGTAAAAAATGTTGAAATAAAAGTATTTTTTGCTGTTTGTTTGTCTTTGTTTTATATAAAAATTGTCAATTAAAGAGATAGATTTTACTGATATTGAGGATGAAATTTGTTTTCATTGCCAAATAAAAAAAGAAATTCAAGAAAATCATCAATTTTTTGGTGTTCGTTTGACTTTATTTTACATAAAAATTGTTAATTAAAAGGAAATAATTTTTTTACAATAATTCTTAAAATTTATTACCAATGCCAAAAAAAATTCGAAAAAAAAAATCGCTACAGTGGCCTGGAATTCGAATTCTCACCAATTTTATAAAAATATGGAAAATTGCTAGTTTTCGAGAAAAACAAGAAAATTAATTCCTTGGAAAAAAAAAAAAGGCTATCAAATGGCCAAAAAGATGGAAAATGATTTTCCATTTTCCATGGAAAACTTGGTACAATCAAACAGTGCCTAAAAGATTATAAATGGCAAAATCCATGAAAATATGGATTTTTATTTTTGGTTTTGAAAATTTAAAATGTAAAACCTACTAAACTAGCCGTTAGAAGAGAAACACCACCATCCACGCCGCCTATATAACGTTCGAAAATCTTAAAGCAGCAACGTTTAGTCCATCATCTTCCCTTATAAAAACACCCTTTCACTCCGTCCATCTCTCTCTCTAGGAAGAATAAGAGATTTTCCCCTTAACTCTCTTCTTCTTCTTACCAGTAATTGCAATTTGAAATCTGCATTTTCATTTTCTTGGAAATCATTGATCTTGAAAGGGAAACAGAAAGACGATGGCGAGAAATAACAACAGCCACCATCAAGACAACAGTACAAACACCGCCACCCCCGGCGGACCGGTGGTGGCACTGTCCAAGAAGACTTTGCCAACTGCAAAAACCGTTGATACACAGTCCGTTTTAAAAAGGTACCTGTACATTTTATCAGTATTTTTAATCAATTATATGGTGCCTCACTCACGTTTTTCCTGATTTAATTATATTGGCTATAACGATATGATCTGCTTGTTGAATTTTGAACTGGGATTTTCTAGTCTCTATGTTAAAAGTTAAAGCCTAGGGTTTGACGTAATTTTCTTGATTTTTTCGCTGATTTAATAAGAAATCCTTAATTTTCTGATTAGTTAGAAATCATGTTCTCCTCAATTTTCTTTAATTGTTAATTAATCTGCTTGGTGGATTTATAAGCTAAAATCATTTCTGATCCTGACTTCTTAGCTTATCTTTCATTCAAAAAACAGGTTGCAATCCGAACTGATGGCCCTAATGGTAAGAACCACAGTACTTCAAAGGCATTATTTATTACGCTCGACTAGACTGATTCAACCCGACCCTTTTTTTTCTTTTTGTGCAACTGATTCCCATTTTTTTGTGCTAAATTCTTGAATCTTAGATGAGCGGAAATTCTGGAATATCTGCTTTCCCTGAGGAAGACAATATATTCCATTGGAAAGGAACAATTACTGGCAGCAAAGATACAGTATTCGAAGGAACAGAATACAAGTTGTCGCTATCCTTCCCTTCCGACTACCCTTTCAAGCCTCCAAAGGTCAAATTTGAGACGAGCTGCTTTCATCCCAACTTCGATATGCACGGGAATATATGCTTGGACATATTACAGGTTATTGTTGAATAACAATCTTCTCGGTTTTTATAGCTGATTGCTCACTTTACCTTATTTCAATGTGTCAAAGAAGGCTCTTTTCTTGTTAGAAAAGTTGTAGAAAGGGATGCAATTGCATGTTTAGTTTGCAATATTAGACCGTATTTTGCTCTAGGCACAAGCTAATACTCTTTTTGCTAAGTTCAAAAAGTGCTTTTTTTTTTTTTTTTGGCTTGGCTTTGTCAAATTCTATTCAGATTTCCTTATTCCAACTCGTCTCGTAGGAGAACAATAGATAAGAGACATGAGAGTACTCATATGACAGTTATTTTTCATTTTTCACAGGATAAATGGTCGTCTGCCTACGATGTGAGGACAGTACTGCTATCCATTCAGAGCTTGCTTGGAGGTAAATTTTGCGCGATTCATTTGGTTTTTTGCACTTGATCGTACTGCCGTGACTATTATCTGACAGTTTTTGCGTCGCGTAGAGCCTAACACGAGTTCACCTCTCAACGCTCAAGCAGCATCACTATGGGGAAATCAAGAAGGTATTTTTTTAATCAATGGTTTTAGCATTTTTTTTTTCCTCTAGAAATTTGCAGCTATAAATTTTTCGTAATTTTTTTTTTTCTTTGGCAGAGTACAGGAAAATGGTGGAGAAATTATACAAGCCCAGTGGATAGAGATTTCTCAAAATGCAATTGCGCATTTCATTCTTTTCGTTTTTACTGCTGATAAGGAAAATCAATGGCACAATTCTTTCCATTTTACTTTAGAAAAGGAAAATCGTTTACTTTTATTTGTTTATGTTTAAACTTTCAAGGACTTCGAATTTGAAGCGATATACTAAATGAATGTGCGCAATGTAATGAGTTAGTGAACTCTCTCTCTCTCTCTCTCTCCCCCCCCCTAAATGGGGGAGCATTCGACAACACATCTGTCCTGAGATGTAATTGCTTCGTGCAAAAAGTATGGAAAAAAAAGTTTAGAATTTCGAAAATGCATTTTCGAAAAATATCATACCAAACATGTTTTCGGTATTTTTACTCGAACGTCTATTTAGTGAAGCATCATCACATCACAACTTTTAAGATTTTCAGGTTCACAAAAGATAGCATGACAGGGTACCGATGGTAGCCATGATATAAATGAAACTCAAAAGAATACAAGTGGGACGTAAATTTGACAGGGTACGATGGTAGGCCATGATATAAATGAAACTCAAAAGAATACAAGTGGGACGTAAATTTGACGTATCCAATGAACATAGAGTGAAAGTAAAGTAGTAAACTAAAAAGACTAATATAGGGGATGATGGGAAAGAGCCAGAGAGATCCCAAAATGTGGACAATTTCCAAGTCACTGTACTAGTGAACAGATCGAAATAAATGACTTGTATGAAGTAGAGAAATAGTATGGTAGATCTGCCAAATAATTCTCAAGGGCTCCATAGCAATATTATGGTACTTCGCATCATTCCTCGTAATCCATACAATCCAACAAATCAATAGATAAATGAACAAACTGATCTAAGAATCATCACCTCTGATAGCAATACTAAACTCCCTCATCTAGTTGAAGAGGTATTTGAAAAGTGGTGCCACACTCGATCGGAGATACCAATGCTTGTGATACAATGGAAAAAACTCAGCCACATTCACCAAAAGATAAAGAAATCGTCGCATGAGTGATAGAATTCCAAATGAAGTTGTATATGTCCTGAGATGAATGGCCCGTATGAACAAGTTGCCAAGCAGACTTAGTAAAAAGTCTACCATTTGACGTATCCCTCCATATAATACGATCAGATACATCTGAACATAGGTGTAAATTCCCAGTCTACTGCTATAAGAGGAGGAAGTACTTGTAGTAGACGATCAATTTCCCTACAGGTACAATCAAAAAAATGTCGTACCTTTAAGGACATATGGTATTGGTGTAAGAATGAAGTGCCATGAAAGAATCCCATTGAACAATCTTGTCCAAAAAATATATTCCCCTGACCAAGCTACCATATAATTGTGTCTCGGCTTGGTAGCTACCAGCTTCAACCGTCGCCAAACAAGTAAAGCTAAGTATGGAATAAATGCTAGAAGGGATGATTGCCCATATAATATTTGTCTAGTAAAAACTGAGCCCACAAAGATCACTAAATCGGAACAACTACCAGAGGTTTACGAAGAATGGATCAATATTGCCCTGCAACCTTTTAAAGCCCAAGCCACCTTTCTCAGTGGAAAGGCAAAGATCCTTTCACATCTTCCAATGCATGTAGTATACCCAATCTTTAGAAACACATAGGAGAATTTTGCTATATATATAGGGGACCTGTACAGATAACTTCACAGGTACATGCATCTGTCATGCTGCTTGTACAGATCCCCTGTATAAGTAGCATTTCTCCCTATAGAAAAATAACAAAAGTGCCTTCTTCCCGCTTCTATACAAGAGGCTGCATAATTTTGATTGGTTAATGCTCATCCTAATTTAAATTCTTGGACCTCTTTTTTTTGTGAATAAAACATGCCTTCATTAAGCCATTAAAAAAATATGATTTAACACTTGTCCTAATAATTTTAATAAAAGAAAAAACTATTGTCCTAATAGACTCTTGGTCTCCAATCTTTAGAAAATAGATTCAATCTTAATAGAAAAAACCTTTCAATTTTTTTATTAAATCACCGAGTTACCTTTGCACATCTCTTTAAGGTAATTAGGAAAAAAATTCCAATCCCTTGCACTCATTGCAAAAATATTCCCTATGGTTTTACACTTGGCATTTATACTCCCAATTCAAACATTTCTTTGTGGAGTTGGTCCTCTCCATCATGCCCTCTTAAATCCTTCCGTGAAATATAGATAATTGGTGCAAAAGGTCCCTTATCGTTTGCCTTCATTGCTCAAATCGTTCCCATCATTTCAATTTTGAGATTTAGACACTTAAACCAATCTCCTCTATCGTTTGCCTTCATTGCTCAAATCATTCCCATCATTTCAATTTTGAGATTTAGACACTTAGACCAATCTTTATTAGAGCAAAAAGTTCTCACCGTCTATTTTTTTCTATCAAAACATTGTAAAATAACTAATTTACCCCGTTTGTAAATAAACTAATTGAAAAAATAAATAATATAAAAAATTACATCTGGAGTTCCAAGTTTTTTATAATTACAAATGAGTCTCACATAAATGGGCTTAGGGGTAGGTGGATTAATTGAGAAAATTAAATATTTTTTTCTTTTATTAGAACATTTTAAATTATTTTACATGACACTCCTTTTTACTTTAAAAATTTTTGAAACTCTAAATGCAATTTTTTTATATTATTTATTTTTTCATTTATTTATTTAAAAATGGGGGTAAATTAGTTATTTTACAATATTTTAATGAAAAAAATAGACGGTAAGAATTTTTTGCTCAAAGAAAAATTGATCTGAATGCCTAATATTAAAATTGTAATGATGTGATCGATTTGCTCAATGAATACAAACGACAGTGACCTTTTATGTCAATTATCTATACTTCAATTTAATAGAATATGACAAAAATGACTAACTCCATAAAAAAAAGTTTGGAACGAGAGTTTAAATATCAAATTTGAAATTGGGATTATTTTTATAATGAGTGCAAACAAGAAACATGTTTTGTTTGCTAATTACCCGGGGTGGGATTGCCTTTCAACTTTGACTAGAGCGTCCAAAAACTGAGCCGCGGATGTCTCGTACTCTGGATGATTTGGACGAATGGTACAATAGGTATCAATTTGTTTCTTTTAAGGATTAAATTGATACAACCAGTCTTGTTATTTAGGAGGGAGAGGAGAAGAAACAACCCAAAATCACTTCTTTTATCAGTTATTAGTCTCATGGATGAACAGAGCATACTCGGTAACAACTATATAGAAGATGTCCGTTGGCTCTGCTCTCTATCTGCGTCGGAACTCGTAAGTTCAATCTCCGTTTTTTTTTTTTTTTTTTTTTTTTTTTTTTTTTAATTCCTTTTTTTTTTTTTTTACTTTTTTCTTTTATTTGTTTTTCTTTCGTTTTCTTTCCTTCCTTTTTCTTTCTTTTATAATTTTTTTGAAAATTGTTTTAAAATTTATTTTTTTAAGGATTAAATTGATACAACCAGTCTTGTTATTTAGGAGGGAGAGGAGAAGAAACAACCCAAAATCACTTCTTTTATCAGTTATTAATCTCATGGATGAACAGAGCATACTCGGTAACAACTATATAGAAGATGTCCGTTGGCTCTGCTCTCTATCTGCGTCCGAACTCGTAAGTTCAATCTCCCTTCTTTTTTCTTTTTTTTTTTTGGTTTTTCAAAGTCCTCGTGCTTAATTTATAATTCTTTGGTTCAATAATTTTACGTAATATGTAAAATAACACAAGCAGTTTATTATTTTTTGTTTATAGGATTTCATGATGGGTTTGAAAACTTTGATACATCAACGTGCCAAGAAAATCGGTCATGAAACCCTAGTAAAGAAATTTGATTTACGAACGCTTCGAGCCCTCAGTATGATTGTTTACCAATCGCTTTTCGTTGTATACTCATTTTTGTAGTTATTCTATGATTATGATTTTTTATAAAATTAATTTGTGTATATTTCTAAGCTTCTACTGATTTACTGTCTTTGGCTGTAGTTGTCTGAGAACCTTTGGGTCTGTGAGGAAAAAAAATTATTTTTCTTTCACCATTTTAAATTTGTTGGCAAACTCAGTTCATGTAGTAATTCGACAAATTTTAATCTTAATAATTATATTGTGAAAAGTTTATTTGTAAGATAATTGACAAAATTTTAGCACTTAGTATTGTACTTTGTTCAATGTCTAGGATTTGAAATTCATATATACCAGCATGCATTTATGATGATTAAAGCTCAATAACTCTAGCTACATCAAACGAGCAGATTAATCAAGAATTTAAGTTTGGATTCTCAATAATAGGATTCTTAATAATAATGACTGAATTTATCAAAGTAGTAGAAGAAAAGAACATAGAATAGAGAGAACAAAGAAGAGGAGATTACAGAGAGAGATTCAGCAAAACGAATCACATTCAAATCATGATCCTAGGCCTCACACTCTCATCTTACATATACTCTCTCTTCCCAATAGTTTTGATTTCAAACTTGACTGAATAAAATTAAAATGCACTTTCCAATTACATTAATTACATAATGAAAGCGTGGAACAAAAAACGCTGTCGGTTTCACTTAAGCTATCAACTTCCTCAAACGTCTTACTTTACTTTTCCTCGTAATTCAAATTTATGTTTCTGGTACTCCTGTTCTTATTGGCCCGACTTTTCATCACACCAGCTCTTCCTTCTTGACACCCCTGCCCCTTATCCAAACCTTGCCCCCAAGTTTTAAAGTCTGATATTTTCTTGTATACAGTCAGTATCCTACCAAGTGGCATCTGAATCCACTGTGCCCTCCCATTTGATTACACTGAGTGTTAGCTGCATTTCCTTCTCACTACACTGGTATATACCAGTAATTGATGTTGCCCTTTAATTCCTTCACCGGCTTAACTTTGGTAGCTGGAGTACCATAACAACCTCCTTTTCCCGGCTTCCTTTTAGTTGCCTATGACCTCCATGTTCTGATCTGTAGATTCCACTTTGGTAGAAACAGCCTGGTAAGCTATTCTCAGTTTCGCTTCTTTTTCCATCCTTTTCAAAATTCTATTGTTTTTCCTGTGCTTTTCCACGAGTTTCTGATGATTAAAGCTCAATAGCTCAAGCTCAATCAGAACCATAATCTAAGAACATCAAACCAGCAGAATAATCAAGAATTTAATTCTCGTTCATAATGACTGAATTTAAGTGAGATGTAGAAGAAAGAATATAGAATAGAGATTATAAAGAAGAAGAGATTACAGAGAGATTTAGCAAAATGAATTACATCCAAATCATATCTGAAATAAACTCTCACTCTCCCCAATGGTTTTGATTCCAAACACGTCATAATAAAATTAAAATTCATTATCCAATTATATTTATTACATAATGAAAGCGTGAAAAGAAAGAAACAATGTCATTTCACTTAAGCTATTTACTTCCTTAAACATCACTGTCTGCTTTGCCTCTTAAATTCAAATTTCTGTTTCTGGTACCCCAGTTCTTCTTGGCCTAATCGTTCATCACAGCTGGTCTTCCTTGTTGAATACATTTTAGGGCTTTCATTTTCTTCGGGAAATAAGAATGTTTTATGTGGCTCTAAACCTTGGTCATCCGGAATGAGGGATTGATGGTTTCCATTTAAGCTGCATAGCTGCTGGTATCAACAACTGTGGGATCTTAGTTAAAATGAAAATTTATGGAAAATCGAAAATTTTGAGCTGGCAGCAGAGGGTGGGGTGCTGAACCCTACATTTTAAAGGATCTGTACATGATTTTTCCTTCCATGCTTTAAACTCAAAGATTATAAGGTGAAAGGGAGTAGAGACTATGATGCTGAATGAAGAGTGGTTGTTATATGATATTTTCGGTGTTGTGAATCAAATTTCTGGATGTGTGCGCTTTTTTTCCTTTTTTCTTCACAGCAGTTAGGTTTTGTACTTAATGGTCTGTTCATATTTTATTGTTAACATCGATCTTGAGGAGGACTAGATTTTGTGATTTGGTCTGTTTAGAAATTTTTAATTGTTATGGATGGAAAATCGTAGAAAACGATAGGTACCTATAGTCAATAGGAATAGCATCAAGAATTGAAAATACCTTTAAAGTGCATGCGGAATAACCAGAAATATTTTCTTTTTCTTTTTCTTTTTTTTCTTTTTTTATTTATTTTTATTTTTTATTAAACACTTTGCCAATGCACAGGTGAACAATCGTCAAACTGGTACTTCTTTTGCCACTCATATTGCTATCAGTGTCACGGTTGATATTGGAATGACATTTAGCTCTTGATATCCTTCATTATTTGACCCAAAATAGAAATTTACTTAAAAAGCAGTACATAGATACTCTTGTTTTTATCTTCTATATTGTCAAGAAATGGTATCCATCTATTGACAGAAGCATTTCTAAAAATTTATCCATACTTGATGGGAGAACTAACCTAGAAACATTTTAGCTCTTTGGCTGTCAACTTGCTTAAGTTTGATTGTGAGTGACTTCGATTGAATACTAAATAGAATCAAAATGCAATTAAATAAAGAGGGACTGTCGTAAGATAAGTTAAAATTTGATATGTGAATACCAGATGTATTTGGCCCTTTGGCAGCTGTTACACAACCCTGCAAACTGAATTTATTGTCATAACATGGATTTATTGACAGAATTCACCTATTGAAACTGTGCCATGAGGAAGCGCATAACTATACTCGTGAAATTTAAGTGGATATAAGAAGCCTATATTATTAAGATATATAAAACTGTTAATATTGTCGAATTTTTTCTGTTTTGAGATTAGATTTGACTTAGAAAACATCTGTGGGTTATTAAATGATACATAGTTTGGTGTTGAATTCCTTTGTTGAACCTTTTATTTGTTCGTGTTATGGATTCTCTATAATATTGTTATTCTGTATGAATCTGCCTCTAAAACATGCAGTACTTTTACAGGTTTTGTATTGATGACAAATCTGAAAGGGCAACTTAAGAATTTATCGGCAACTTCAAGCTTTGAGTGTAATTTGCTGAATCATAATCTCAGTGATAGTTTTAGTAGTATGAAAATCGAGGATTTGATTCCATATATTTGCTCAGACAGGAGGAAAAGAATAGCAGACATGTAAGTTAATTATGAAAAACTCTTTATAGGTCTTATTTTGATCGGACCCTTGTTCATAATCAAACCATATTCTCTTCACTGATAGTTCTCCGTCAATGGGTTTGTACGATTGGCATAGGAACATGTGATTCTTTCAAATATCATCCCCCCCCCCCCCCCGCCTTCAAATATGCATTTTCACCTTTTATAAAAATCTTTCTTCAACGACCCCTGAGGCTAAGAATGTTCAACGGGTGGCCCCGTTTTAGACTTTTCTACCTGCAAACTTAGTCGAATTGATTACTGTGTTTTCAATTAATTCGTGTACCAATTCTGGTTTTCCCAGTTGCTTGATGCAGTCGAGGAAATCGTCCTCTCCCATAATAAAGGTTAAATATTTTGACATCTTGATTGATTTTCACTCATAAGTGATGTGATGGGACTCGCTTGAATGAAAATTATCAAAGAAATGCACCTACCTCCCTCTCATTGTGAATGTCTGTCAGGAGGGTGATAGCTTGGGCTGCTTGGTCCTCTCCCAAAGCGGACTGCATTGCAAATTGTGTCATCATCATTTCTGATTTCACCTGTGTCATCATTAATTTTTTATATTATCTTTATCACATGGCTACATGCATAAATCGATTTGGATTTTACCCGGACCGGTTGTGAGACGGAAGCAAAATTAGGTCAACATGTCGAGCTATTGATAAAAAATTTAAGGTTCAACCATTTTTTTTTTTGTTGAACGAGGTGTCCTAGCTTACGCCAGACTATATCCTCGTCCCTGAACTTCCGGCTCCTCAGCAGCTCAGGGAGGTAAATCGCGGGATGTGCCCAAGTTGACCAGGGTTCGAACAGCCTTTATATTCCTGACCCCAAGGAAGCCTCCTCCATGGTTATTACATCACCAAGCTGCTCCAACCCTTCCTCTGGTTATTACAACACTCAGCTGCTCCAACCAGGAATCGAACTCCCCACGCTGGGGTTGCGAGCCCCGCACTGTCCTTCTTTTGCCAACTTGGATGTGCCCCAGGGGGCCACAGCAAGTTTCTTTGCTTTTAGGTTCTGTGGTACTTGTGAGGCTAAGCACAACGTCTAGCTATGGAACTTTTCACAGTAACAAGTTTGATTGTGAATTTAAAAGGTGCTTTTGTATAATCTTAATATTTTTGATTGAATAATTTTATTTGCAATCGCTCACTGCGGTAGCCGTCCTACGTGGAATACACATGGCAGGTGGTTATTTGATGTATTAATGAATAAAAAAAATCATATTAATGCATCAAATAATCACCTGTCATGTGTATGCCACGTAGGGCGACTATCGCAGTGAGCTACTACGAATAACATTACTCTTTTTAATTGTGTTAGAAATTAACATTTTGATATATTAATGTGTATTTTGTTGATTTTAAAGCTTCATTAAATATAAATTACAATATTGCGTATGAGCTTTCGAGAACCTCAAAATTCGGGCTTTTTAAAAATAATCTTCAAAGCTATTCGTGCGTTGAAAAGTACGTTTCCCACTTTAGCCAAACAATTAATATTTGGAACTGCACTTTCATCATGGTAAAATGATACTCAAAACCACCTTTAAAAATTGGAAGATTTAGTAAGCAGTAAGAGCAGTTTCGGGTGCTCGTTGATTTTCCTCCCTTTTTTTTTATTAAATAGATAAAAATAAAATATAAATCATCCTCCTTTATTCGGGGGACCAGTTACATAAATTTTGAGTAGGCAGTGGCAACAGTGCTAATCGGAGGTGTCAACAGATTTTTTGCAATTACAAAAACAACCGGCTATCATTGTTCATACATTTGCTTGAATTCAATTACTTCTTCTGAATTTTTTTTAATTATTTTATTTGTTGGCATATTATGATTGAAGTAATCAATTAATTCAGTAGATAATACATTTGGACTTGCATCCGATATTTAATGAGATGCAAATATAGACAACATAGTACTCGATGAACTTATTGCAGTTGCATCATATCTATATGTATTAATACCTTCAAATAAATTTAGTATTTCAATGTCATCTTCTTCAATATCAGCGGAAGGAGCGGGTGCAGAGGATACCTAACTAATATTTGTACCCATTCATTCAGCATATAATTCATACATTTCACATAATCTTTGCTCTAAATTATTATAGGTGATAGACGTATTAAAAGTTAAAGCTTTTTAAATCTGATCAATTACATATTTAGTTCTCGATAAATTTATATTGGGTTCCATTACGCAAACTAAAAGAAATAATATAGACAATTATTCTCAATATCTTCTTAACTTTAATTCCATAGCATATATAATTGCACTAAAATAAGAGTTATTTTTGTATATAAAATGTTATTGCAATTATATAAAGGTGTTCAAGCGTCATACATCTAGTGTGATAGTAAACGTCAAATAAAATATTTGTGGAGTCATAAAAGATGTCAATTTTATTTTTATTTTTATTTTTTAACTTTTAAAGCTAAAAGTCAATCGGATTCATTTAACATAGAGTCGTCATCGTTTCTAATGTGCCTATTGTTAACATTCGCATAACTTTAATAATAAGTAAGTGGAGTTCCATCTATGACTTATGTCGTTAACAAATGTTCAAGAATGTCACCCCAACTTTGGCACAATAATTCTCAAATACTTATTTTCGACTAGGGGAGATCGTGATATATATATTTGTGCATTCATAATCATTTGAAATTCATCTTTTATATTTTTTAAATCATTTTGCACTATTAAATTCAAAATACGGCACACAAAATGAATATGAAATAAATACCCATTGAAATTAGGTTGTAGTGCCCTACATAATTTATCAACAACTACTTTATTAACACTAATATTATCGAAAGTAAAAAAACGAATTTCACTCTTGCAACAATATTCTCTAATAACACTTATCCCGTTTGTTTCTCATTTTTGGAAAAATGAGAATGAAAAATATAGTTGTTATGAACTCCATATAAGAGATGAAAATTTAAATTTGGTGACTTGATGTGATAGATAACGATCATATTTTTCATTTTAATGAATTAACAATGGAAAACAAAAGGGGGTTTATAATAGCATATATATATTATTAGCGTTGTGAGAAAACTCAATAATTTTAAAAGTAATAATTTTTTTATGCATACACCGAAGCGGGTCTATATAGTGTGTAGTTGCAGCTATATACGCTCTTTTATTTATTCATTCCCATATATCCAAAGTTAAAGATATAACATTCCCATATTTTTGTAAGTCCATAAATACTTGTTGTTTTGAATCAACGACATATTTTATTGCATCTAAACGAATAATGTTCTGACTTACCTCAACGTACTTTAGTTGCAAATATTCTTTCACATGCGAGAAAAAGTGTTGGTTGTCCACTATTGCCAGTGGCAACTTAGCACCGACAACAAGTTTCACTATTTCGGTTCGATCTTTCTCCTCCAAGTACACCCACGTGGACATGAGCGACGTCGTAGAACTGGCGCCTAAACTGTGAAATTGCAATTGTGTTTTACCAGATAGAAAAAGTCCATGTTTGGCCGCATATACTTTATAGTGACGATTGAGGTGGGTAGTACTAATTCCTTTTTGCTATGATAATCTTTGTTGGTAGTATTTACATACTGTTTTAGATTCGGCGACTCCATCGACGACTTTTTCAGTTGAAATCAACTCGAAATGATCCCAATATTTTGCTTGTTTTTTCACCTTTCACTTTCCCCTGCATCGGAAATGTTTAATTCAACTTCTTCTTCTTTTTCTTCATATTCTGCTACAGGAGCGTCAACGTCATCCAAATCAATTAGATTATTGCTTCCATGAGCACCCAAATCTATAATATCTTCAGGTATGAGTATGTCATTTAAACTGAAAAATTCATTCTGAAATTGACTTTGTGACATTATAGGCAATTTGCCTCCTCCAATACCCAACAAGCCTTCAGCAAATTAGTGTAAATCCATTTGTTTTTTATGAAATCGAAATGTAGTAACTGGTAAGTATGAATGTAAAACAATAAAAGTATAAATTTAGCAAAAATAAATGTAGACTTGAAAGAGAATTATTGTATAAATGTAGCAAAAAAATGTAGAATTGAGACTTGAGAGAGAGAGATTATGTAATTGAGAGTTGAGAGAAATTATGTAATTATTGTGTAGATGAAAACGGGGGTGTATGGGTATTTATAGAAAAATTTTGGGGAAAAAAATGTTTGCAACCGTTTTGGCCACTATTCATAGTTCCGTGATCGTTTGCAACGATCAATGTAGCTACATGAGTCTGTTTCTTGCGAGCTCACAAGCTCGTCTTGTTGGCTCACCAACGAGCATTCGCTCATTGGGCGAGCCGAGCCGGTTTGGCTCGCCAAACGGGCGATCGAGCTTAGACTCGTTATTTTACGAACCCGAGCAACTCACGAGCCTAGTTTTGATGAGTCGAGTAATTGAGCAGACGCTCGTTGGGCTCAATTGCCATCCCTATTATTCACTCTATTTATTTAAGCCATTGTTAGTTAGGTTAAAATTTTTGATTAAAATTAAATGAAAGTCGAAAAGTTTTAACGCTCACAAAAACCTGCCTTAGGGAAGCCCACGTCATCAATAACGATAAACTGAATACTGGATATCACAACACACACACCCTCCCCACTCTGTGTGTAATAGAGAGAGTAGGAAGAGAAACATGGCAAGAATGTGCATGGAATTGAACCCAACTCTGGCAATCACCTTTGCAAAAGAAAATACTGAACAAAAAACCAATCCTAACAGAGTCAAGCTCCCAGAAAAAGTTAAGAATTCAAGAATTCTGATACTGGGAGGCACTGGAAGAGTTGGAGGATCTACTGCAATTGCTCTCTCCAAGTTTTGTCCTGATCTTCGCATAGTTGTCGGTGGTCGAAACAGGTAATTAAATCTTTAACGTTTTTATGCCCGCCATCTGTTTGATATTTTTCCTTTTTTTTTTTTTTTTAAATTAAGTTTGAAGAACATTTTTCATAAAGGGAATTCAGAATCGAAACTGGATTTTCTCAGAATTGGAAATGTGCGAGTGATGCAGTAGGATGTAAACGGACTGATTTTAATTACCTTTAAT